AAAAAAAAAAAAAAAAAAAAGACTTAGTAAATTTGGCCCTTGAAGTGCAGTCACGTTAACAAAATGGTGAAATTTTACAGGCAAAAAAGGTTCATTAAACTAAGCACAGCTCACATTGAAAGTCACATAAAAAGCAACATTGCAAATTCACACCAGATTTTCCATAAATAAAAGTGCTCTATAAAACAAAATTAGTATTATTATTGTTACTACTATATTCAAATTTGTATATTTATTCTTAAATACTTTATTTTTATTTTTTTATAATTAAATGGTTTTGTTACAATAGTCGATTCTTAGTTTAAAGGGTTAGTTCACCCAAAAATGTCTGTCACATTTCATCAAAATATCTTAATTTGTGTTCTGAAGATGAACGAAGGTCTTACGGGTTTGGAACGACACGAGGGTGAGTAATTAATGACAGAATTTTCATTTTTGGGTGAACTAACCCTTTAATATCTTTATTTAGTAATAATAATAATCTTTATAATAATTATCTTGACTTATATTGATGTATAATCACAACATTTTAAGCCAAATTTTGCAGCCCTACAAATGAACACAATAAACCTGATGTTTTTTTTTTTAGTTTCTTTTTTTTAAAGTTTTTTATTTTTTCAATTGTTTTGCTTGCAAAATTTAGCTGAACAGATGTAGCTGCACCTTTAAACAGCCATTATAAAATTCAATACTTTTTCTGTTTTAAAAATAATAACATTGATTTATGCAAAGTAAACTATGAAGAGATAGCTTGACTGATTGTTTTCCTGTGTTTTTAAACAAGAGACCCTTGAGGTGATTTTTTTTTTTAATGGTAAAAATTCTATTACCATACATTTTTGCTATAATTTTGGATTATTTAAAAAATAATGTATTTCATTCCATTATTATTATTATTATTAACAGTATGATAATACAATACATAAATTTTTTGCTATATTTTTGTGGAAAAAAATACATATATATATATATATATATGTATGTATCATACCGTTATTATTATTATTAACACTATGATAATACACTACATACATTTTTGTTATAATTAGTGAGATTTAATATTATTTATTATAATTATTATTTATGTGTGTGATTTATTTAAAAACAAAATCATGCTTGTTACTGTCGTTTTTGACATTATTGTGATAAATATTATTCTTAATATGAAACCAAATATCGAATTTCCTGACTGCCTGGATTTCTGTTAAAATGACTGGATTTTGCCAAACTGAATGTGACCGTGTCTTTTGTAACATCCACTGTAAAATTCAACTATATTTTGCGTTTGTGTAATGAATAACAAAGTAAAGAGTGAAGAGCTGGTTGCTGTCCTGCAGATCTGCATGTGGAGGGTCTGTTTCGGGTTCCTGGGAACAGCCTGAGACAGCAGACGCTGAGAGAGCAGCTCAACAGCGGTGCAGACATCGACTTCTCCTCCGGTGACTTCCATCCCAACGATGTGGCCACGCTCCTCAAGAGCTTCCTGGGGGAGCTGCCCGAGCCCCTGCTGACCCAGCGGCACCTGCACGCTCACCTGAAGATCACAGGTCCGGCAGAGCACTCACCACTCTTCATTTTGACAACAAGTTTTCATTTACCGCATTGACCCGAATATAAGACAATGTTTTTTTCTTGGAAATACATCTGAAAAAACGCGGTCGTCTTA